ACCTGACCTTGAACATTTCCAAGGATGGGGCAGACTCTTGGTTCCTGTTTTGCCCCAGCTGCAGGGGGATAGACCCAACCCTACCTTGGGCGCATGCTATGGGATTGCAGTGGTGGTTGCTTTACTCCCAGCAGGATGGTCCTCCCATCCCCATCCCATCCCATCCAACTTCCATTTCATAGCCTCAAATGGGTTTCATTTCCCATCAGCAGAAATTAATCCCTGTCCACACTAACTCAACACCCTCTGGCACATCTGGATGATCTCCACTGAGGTTTTGGTGTAGATAGAGTTGACAGCTGAGCAAGTCAATCCCTCTGAACACCCGTTGAGATGCAGGGAGAGCAAAGATTCAGGCTGGAGCAGATGCCCAGAGGTAGCATGGTGGGAGGCGAGCAGGGGATCATAGAATCATAGACTGGTTTGGGTTGGGAGGGACTTTAAAGACCATCGAGTTCCAACCCCCTTGCCATGGGCAGGGACACCTTCCACTAGCCCAGGTTGCTCAAAGCCTCATCCAGCCTGGCCTTGAACACCTCCAGGGATGGGGCATCCATAGCTTTTCTGGGCAACCTGGTCCAGAGCCTCACCACCCTCGTTGTAAAAAAATTCTTCCTAATATCTCATCTAAATCTCCCCTTTTTCAGCTTAAAACCATTACCATCTCCACAGGGATCTGCGGGAAGATGGGGCATTGGTTGCACAAACCCAGAGGTGGCCAAGCCAGCTGCACTTTCTTCTCCAAGACAAGCTGAATTTGGGAGTGGGGAGTGTCATTAAAAGTCACTCACTGAGATTTCAGCATAAATTAATAGCTGCTGGAAGCAGCAGGCGTGGAGCTCGCCAGGGAGCCGGGGGCAGGCTTCCCAGCTATTTAATATTTAAGCAGCAGCATTGTTAGATTCCTGCCAGCCCGGCTTCCTGTGGGCAGTGATGCAACAGAGCATTTCTCCCCTACCCTTTCCCTGCCCCTCCCAGTAAACTATTTTTTTCAACATTTCTAAGCCAATGCCTAGTTGTGCTTGACAAAGGTCAGCCTAACAGAGTTGCTGAATGAAAAGGAAGAAATTTTTTTTATGATGAAGGTGGTGAGACACTGCAACAGGTTGCCCAGAGAGGTGGTAGATGCCTCATTCCTGGAAATATTCAAGGTCAGGTTGGACAGGGCTTTGACCAACCTGGTCTCGTGGATGATGTCCCTGCTTATGGCAGGGGAGTTGGAACTAGATGATCTTGAAAGGTCCCTTCCAACAAGTGGGAACTTTAGCGGTGGCAGCAGGGGGATGACTTTTCATCTCCGGTAAGATGAAGAAGAGCAGAGGGGGTGTCCCAGCTGTTACGTCGCTATGTTCACCCCAACCCTGACGCTTGCAGCTCATGGCGTTGCAGATGGATACTATCCATCTCATTTGCAGCTTCGCTGGTAAGAGCTGTTTGTGACGATAACGAAGCCAAGTCTCATCAGGACCTAAATGAGGAGCGATGCCACCCACAGCATGCTGGCAGCAGTTTTATTCCTGATCTGGCTCTGCTGGTGGGATGGTTTGGAAGCTCTCTGGTCGATCTTGATCTTACCGCTTAACTTTCTTCACAGCAGCTAGTGAAAGGCTGTGTTTGGATTTGTGCTGGGGAGAAGCTGATCACACACTGAAGGTTAGAGTTGCTGCCAGGACAGTCAAGGACTTTCCAGCTTCTCTGCTGGGCCAGCATCTGCAGGGGCAGGAGAAGCTGGGAGGGAGCACATCCCCAGTTCCAAGCCCAGGATTCGACCTGGGACCCAAACTGGACAGTGGTCTATTCCATATCATGCACGCATGCCCAGGAGAGAGGTGAGGCTCTGTCCGGAAGTTCTCTCTCTTACTCCAGGTTGTCTCCCTCTGAGTCGCCCCTCTCAGAATCATCTCGGTCTCTCAGACACTTGGGCTCTTCTCTCCATTCTGGGATCGCAGTTTTGGGACTGTCCCTGCTCCGGGATCATTAGCCAGGAATGGGCTGAGCCTTGGTTATCGGCTGTCACTTATTTCTATATATTACTATTATCATAATTATTATTATCATCATTATTTTCAATATTATTGTAGTTTAGTTCTTAAATTGTTCTTATCTCAACCCACAAGTCTCACTTCCCTTCACCCCTTTAATTCTCTTTCCCATCCCGGTGGGGGTAGGGGAGGGTGAAGGTTAGTGAGCGGCTGCGTATAAAACTACAACACCATGTTAAACCGTTCCATCCCACCAGCCTCATGGACTGTCCCCACTCCTGGGCATGTTTTGGCGCTCCAGTATCAAATTCATATTGGGATAGAAAGCACAGAAGGAGTTGGGTTAAGACAAGGGTTGTACTGTACCATGCGCTGCATGAAATACCGAATGAGGAGCAGAATCTACTTCCTTGGAGATTTCATCCAAGTTTCGAAGCCAGATATGAATATCCATTCACCTCTGAGCTCACACATCCCTCACCTCCTGCATCCAGCTGGCACAAGCCAGAATCTTAATATTCTTTTAATCGCCGCATAACTCTGCAGCCACTTCAACAGCCTTTGCTGTGTTTGGAAGAACCTTTGCACCAACTGGTTGGAAAATGTCTGAAATTTCCAGCAGCTGTGCGTTGGCCAAGGAAACATCATTACTGGGAATTTACAGTCGGCTCGTTTGCTGGTAACTGGCTGGCCAGACGCTCACGGTGCTGCTGTGCGCTCCTCAGATCCTCTCCATCAGATAAGCATGAGAAGAGATGGAGATTTTGGGAGCCAGCACCTGGAGGAGACTTCATCCCCATCTTCCTCCCAGATTCCCGTTGCCTTTAGCAAGGAAGGTTTTCCCGGAGATGCAAGGAGACATGCTGGGTGCCCTTACTTGCAATTATTTTGAAAAATAGGAGGCCAGGAGGAATAGCTGATGATCAGGTGAATTTTTTAAATTTTTTTTTTTTTTTTTTGGAGGGGAGAGAAAGTAAGGTGCACAGCGGGTAGAAAACTTCTGGAATTTGTTGCGGTGAGAAGCTGTGGAGGCTGAGGAAGGGATTAAACAAATTGAAGACAACCGGTCCATAAATATCTCTGAAGTGGGTGCCTTGGAGGATATCTCCCTGCTGTCACCCCTAACGCAGGGACTGGGTGCTGGGGGGCACAAGGGCATGGACCACAGGCAGCAACCGGGCTCATGAGCATCTCTCACTGCCATGGTTTGGAGCAGAGTATTGGGCTGGATACACCATTGCTCTGACCCAGGTGGACATACCTTACCTTGCAGATCTTTCCAAAAGGTCAAAGTGGGACAAATGGACAGATTTTGGATAGGGAAGCAAAGCTGGTCCTGAAGTTCCTGGGGAAACCTGGAGAAAAGGGGAGTCTCTTTTTTTGCACAGATGACATAGTCCCTGAAGGTTCCCAAGCCATGGTTGGGCAGGGATGCTACCACCATGAGAAACCTGTTTGCCATGAGGGTCTTGCCTTTGCTCAGCTTTGATCCCAAGAACTTTGCCTGTAGTAGACCTTCCTTGAGGTCTTCTCCCAACTTCCATCGGCTTTCTCTCCAGTAAACGTTCGCTATGTCCTCTTTCGGCAGTGGGACTCTTCGTTGGGAAGCTTCCTGAGCATTAATTCCCTTCCATCTGGGGTTTCGCCCATTGGGGAAGGAGATCCTGGGGCCATGGATCTGGGTACAGCACCAGGCATCAGAGCTGATGCCATTCTCTTGAGAAGACACTGGGCATCATGGAGGAGGAGGTGCACTCAAAAGGAAAAAAGGGATTAAGCAACTCGAACACAGCCGTAATTTTAGGGCTCAGAAGTCTCATTAAAATTAGCTTTGACAGAAGCTTAATTTTATTGCCTCTTGCTTGAATAAAATTTTTGAGGTCTATCCTATTACGCAGATTTGTTTCTTTTTCCTTTTCTTCTCCTTCTGAAACTCAACATCTGATCTGAATTTTATTAATGTAAGCATCGTAATGTGTAAATAGGGGATTTTAATGCTGTTTCTTCAGAAACCGCTCCGAACGAAGTTATTTCTCCAGATGTTTGCTGTTACTTTCTGATGCAGGGCAAATGTCTAATAATTCGCTCTGTGCCATCTGTTTTCTGATTATTCGCACATCCCCACAACGAAGAACTGTTAAGGCAAAAAAAGACCTTTCCTGTGCTCGTGGAGCAAATTTTGGCAATGAGGACGAACAAAACTGGAAAACATTGCCCTTAGACAAAGACTTGTCAGTGGTCGCATGCTTTGTTCGGAGGTGTTGGAGGGTCTTGGAGTGGATGCTGGGCAAGCCTGAAGCTAAAGAGAAAGTGGAGCAAGAGTGGGTTTGCTCTTGTAGGAGAGGCTTTAAGCTGGTGATATTCCAAAAGGGACGTGTAAATGCCATCTTGCATCTCCAGGTGCTTTTTTTCCATGTTTTTCCAGCAAGTCTGCTCAGGGAAGTTGTCTCTTGGAAAACATTGGTAGCTGTTGGTGCTGGGACCTTCTCCATCATCTGGAAGCAAGGGTTCTGCAGGCTCAGATGTAAACGACTGCAAAGTGGTAAATAAGAATGTGCCAAAAAGGGGTTTTCTAGCAAAAAAGCCTCCTCTGCCCGCATTGGCTCTGACCATCTGAGATGAGCGAGGAATGATGGTGATGGCTAATGGAAGGGCTGCCCTTGGAAAGGACCATGGGTGGGACAAAGCTATGAGATGTTTAGGATCTGTCTACAGCCGTTCTTCACAAATAAGCATGGTTTAAGGGAGAATGTGGTGTTTGCAGGGTTTGAAACAAAGCTATGGACCACAGCCATGGAGGGCTTGGTTATCATCTGCTCAACAACTGATTAATGACTCAACGCTTGACGCAAGGAGGTGGGAGTAGGTCTCAAGCGTAGAGCCCAAACTAACAGGAGCTGGGAGCCCATCTCAGTGGACGCGTCTTTGTTAATCCCAAAGTGAAGGAGACTTTAATAAATGCACACGCGCGTCGCAGTCGCCGTTGGTAACTCCTTGTTCACTATTGCTGTATTGCAGTTCGTCGCCTTCCGGAGTGTTTGAGAAAGAATATGACATTTATCGGGATTACAGTGCAGAAGGTCAACTCCTCCACTACAGGTAGCCAAAATTTCCCTCTGGGATTGGGTTTGGGGTCTACAGTGTGGCCTTGGTGGCAAGGTGGGGGCGTGGGACAGCCCATGTGCTGCTGGTTGACCTACGGGGACGGGGCAGCAAGTAACACCGGTGTTTCTTAGTGCTCTTTTGATCCTCCTCCCCATCCCCTTCCCTCCAAGGTTTTTAGCTTTACTACCACCCTTAAATAAATCATTAGATATATTTTGATGGTTCTTTGGAGCAGGGACCGTCCGTCCACTTTATGCATTGGCCTTCATTTGAGTGGCTCCTACCCACGACCAGAAACTGGAGCAGGACAGGAGGACCACCAGGGCTGTCCAGTGATGGGGTCACACCGCAGGGTGGTCTCCTGGACTGTGGGGTTTTCTTAGTTCCATCATTAGCTCATCGTCAGTTTGAGAAGGGGCAGGAGGCAGGACTCACCCAGTGCTGCTGGTCCACCCCAATGTTTGCCATCACGGTGGGGTGATGGCTTGAACAGCTCTCCACACTGGAACCGTCTTCTGGGCTCTTTCCTAGGATTTTTGCCTCGAATATTAGGAGGTTCATGTGGGTATGGATTTGGTCAATCACCGCAGCGAGGCCAGCTGATTCAGTGCGCTGTCTCCATCAGGTCCTGGAGGTGGGAAAGTCTCCTGAGAAATGAAGCATCTCTTCCAGCCTGTGGGTCCAACTGCTGTCAGAGTCCATTTGTAAGACAGATATGAGATTTCTCTGGCTTGGATCAGGATTTAGGGTGCTAAACCAAACCGCCACTTCCAGTTTTCATGGATTTATGTTGCTAGAAAATGAGACGGTGTCATGCTTGTCTTCAAAATGCCTCTCCTACAATTTGCACAAGTGGTTCAGGTGTATGAATTTTGTGACTTCTCACTAGTACTGATGTGGACTAATACCTTGAACGTGGGCAAAAAAATCACCAGAACTGAGTATATCTGCATAGATGATAAGAGGTGGGGCATGATAGTGTTCTGGGCTCCTGGAGCCTGGCCCACCACCAGTGTCACCGCTTTCGAAACAAGCTTTTTGCCTTCAAAACCCAAAGTACTGATTAGGGATGGTTTTATGGGGGCTGAGAAATTGCTCTTGATACAGCCCAGATGGCTCCTTGGCTACTCTTTCTTGGTGGCCAAAGGAGGCATCTTAGCTGACCCACCTCATCCTGCCCTGGAGTGTTTGGGAGATGTCCCCTTTGGCCACCACCTGTCAGGATGGAGGTGGCGGTGAGGGTCTGCAACCTCTGGAACCTCACCATCTCATCCTGACTCCATCCCAACCTGTACAGGTTGGGGTTTTTGGTACCTGCTGGCATCATCCAGATCAAATTAGGTGGGATCAACAAGGATAAACATCTGCACTGGATGTTTTTAGTGACACAGACCTCCAAAAAATTGGTGGCCTGAAGTGTAACACCACGTTCATCCCAACTCCTACCTTTAAGACATGTCTTGGTTTCAGCTGGGTGGAGGCTGTTGTGTTGTTTTTCTGCTAATCCAGGTCAAAATTTTTGGGGGTTTTGGAGTTGATGCCTGCCTGGTTGCTCTGGGTTTTAACAAATATCCCCAGTTTCTATGTTTTTCTGGAAATGAAGGTGAGTTGAAGCACCTCGAGCTCTTGCTTTGCTTTCTGTGCCCCTTCCCTGCTGCTCTGTGACACTACGGGCTGGCCAGCTGGTCCACGGTGACACGGTTTGCAGCAATCTCCATCCCAGTTCAAGAGACGTAGCAAGTGGAAAATCACCCGATGGCACTGGCCGCATGCCATCCTGCCCGCCCTGTAATTTACTGCTTCTGCAGTGACCTCCTGGGAGCGTCAGAATCAATTGCCACTTAAGCAAGAGGGGGAAAAACAAGCTTTCTAGGAGGGGGAAAAAATAAGATAAATGGTATCTGGTGTAGCAGAATGCTCTCCAAGAGCATCAGGTGAGCTCGGAGAAACCCACCCACGGACAGCTTGACTCCAAAGTATCCCTTCTGCATGCTGGGTGGATGCAGATCCCTGTCTGCAGGCAGGAAAAATGAGGAAGAGTGGAAGGGAATGTGATTTGGCGGGTCTGGATCCGCCATTTGCATTGAAAACAGGATTTGCTGGTGCATCCTCTGCTCTGATATTAGGCATCAACCGTGCTTTGTTCCGAATTGGCAGCGGGAGCTGAGCCGGCATCCAGGAGCGAGACAGATCGGTGACAGGGACATGGAGCAATGACAGGGACACACCACTCTATCCTGAGCATTTTTTTTTTTTCTGCAAATGGGGGTTAGTGATTCAACACTGATGGGTTCTGACCCGCTGCCAGCTGGGTGGTGGTGCCCAATCCCAGCTGCAATCAAGAGACAAGGGATGACGCGGGTTTTGGGGACAACTGTCCCTACCCGCCAGCTGGCTGATGATCATGGCCGCTTGAGCAATTAAAAGATTAAATTTTGTTGCGGTGAGTGCACATGACCTGTTTGCATCAGCATGTGCTTTGCTGCAGGAGATGCCTCCGTCTTCCCGACCTCAACTTTACCGCCGTCCGTAAAAAAAAACCCACGGACAGCCCTCGCTGCCCTCCCCCCTCTCCCAGTCCCCACCTCAATCACTTCCAGCCAGGAAGCTAATTAGCAGCTTTGCTTAATTAGCTGAGATTGGACTTCCTTCTGGAAGGGGGCTCAAATACCCTCTGTCTGGGGGCTGCCAAGCGAGATGGAAAGAGGAGCCCCCCCGCACTGCCTTGGGGTGGGGGGGGGGGTTATTAACCCTGTGAGTGCCATGTTCACTTGTGAAAGCTGAAATCAAAGCTCACCGGTCCTATGAGTTCACATTATTTTTTAAATTTAATTAATTAATTACATTTAAAGGGTTTAAAGAGAAGGGTGTGCGGCACCTTTCAAATATCCACCTGCATAAAGGTTTCAGCTTCTCCAAAGCTTGGCTGGCAGCTCTTCCTTGGATGGACCAAGGCTGGGCAGATCCCATTGTCCCAGGGGAGTACCATGGTGGGTAGCACCCATGGCATGGGGAGGCCACCTGGAAGCCCAGCATTGGCATCTACCTCTGGATGGCAGCACCCGTGACATGGGGGGGGTCACCTGGAAGCCCAGTGTTGGTGCCTACCTCTGGATGGTTCAGAGGGATTCACACGTGGTCCCCCGTGTGAACGGGAAGACCCTTGAGATTCTTATGCCTGAAGTGGCCAAGACCTGGGTGGGGGAAACTGCAATCCAGACACCTCTTTGTGATGCTCAGGGACAGGTTTTTGGGAAAGGCTGGTGCTCCAGCACCCTTGGCCAAGTTGCAAAGGGATGGGGGAATCTCTTGTCTTTCCTTGTGTTTCCCACGGGCTCATGCCAGGGGTGAGGTGGTGATTGCAGAACAGGCTGGAATCCAACCAGAGCTGTAAAAACTCCATCGCAGAGAGTGGTGCATGTCCCAGCCAGGTTGGCAGGACATCACCCGTGTCCTGAGCCCTCAAGCTCTTCCACTGAAGCTCTTCCAGATCCAGCCACTTCCAAACACCATTTGTGACATGATCCTGGAGGCTTCACAGTCAGGTAGGACTCTCCAGCCCAACAGCCTTCTCAGGTCCTTCCAACCCTCTCTTCCTCAACAAGTCTTGCATTAGTCCCACAGGTTTTTCTCAAAGCCACAGTAAGTGCATGTTGGCTCCTTTGAAGACCAAAATAGATGGACAGACAGTGGACTTGGCAGAGGATCTGTAGGCCACTGGTGGCTGAGGAAGCTTGGTAAGACTTAGGCTGTGGCTTGGTCCCTTCTGGGCACATGTCCACTCACTTCCATCACCTCCTCCTGTGGGGTTCACCTGGGAGACCACCTTCATCCATGGCATCGTCATCCCCCAGTGCAGCTTTGGGGGTTCAGCTGCCTGGGTCACCCCAGGAGCATCCTCAGGAGCAGGCAGGGATTTTTTCTGCTTCCTTGACGGTGCTAGCTCAGTGCTCCCAGCCAATGATTGCTATGAGAGATTTTCTGATATAATGAAGATTAGTGGGTGTCATTAAGAGGATGACGTCTTGCTCCGTCTGTCTAGAAGGCACTTGCAGGAAAGCCCTTGCATCCAAATCCCAGCGAGACAGGCAATTACGGGAACTCTTCTTAACCCTTTCCTCTTTATTCTTTCTGGTTTGTGGTCCCTGAAGCCCAGTTGCTTAATGTCCTCATTTTTCTTCCTATGGTTCTGTTGAGATGGTTGAACTCTCTGCTAATCAGTGGTTTTTGTCAAGAAGTCTGTTTGTTTGTGGGACAAATCCCAGGTCTCTGTCATTGTCCCATGCTTGTGTTGGCCAGTCAATGGCTGGAGGGTCCAAGGCTTCACATCAGAGACCTTCAGCTTGCTCTTCCAAATTTACCTCCTCTCCTAGGACACAGCTGCTCTGCTCCTCTGACCCATACTGCTGATAGGGTGGATGTCGTGGAGGTGGTCAAGGCTTTGTGGCCACCAGGAAGACGCTGGAGCTTCTTGGTTGAGGGAAATGCAGCGTGTTGCACATGGAGCACAGCAGTAAGGCATTAATCATAGAATCATAGAATGGTTTGGGTTGGAAGGGACCTTAAAACCCATCGAGTTCCAATCCCCCTGCCATGGGCAGGGACACCTTCCACTAGACCAGGTTGCTCAAAGCCTCATCCAGCCTAATGACCCTCTTCTTTCCTTCTGGGAGGTTCATTACTTGGGGACTTCCCAAGAATGGAAGAACCAGACCTAAAAATGTGCCCCAGTCCCAGCTGTAGGCTCTTCTGCTCTGGGAGAAGGTGAGAACTCTGCTCACCCAGCTGCAATGATGGCAACGTGCATGCTTCGAGGCCATGGAGAAACCCTCGTTCTTTCCTTCAGAGCTAGAGAAGGTGTGGTCACCCACTACAACTCATGTCTGTGCCTGGTGGTATCTCCAGCTCTGCCTTCTCGTTCACAATGGCTTTGTCTCTGATAGAATGATGGGATGTCCAACCCATGAGCAGGGAGCAGTGTCCTGTTCCTGCTG